CACCCACCCACCCACCCACCACACACACACATACACACAGACAAACACTGCAGAGTGAAACCATAGAGCAGAGCTGCACAAAATGACCTCTATTTATAAAATAGTTTCTGGATGCATGAACTGAGTATGCATACCGATTTTCCAGGAAAAGCCAGTGATCAACAGGAAGTTAAATTTGACTGGCTTCTGCTCCAGGATTTTGTCTGGGAAGAGAAACACACACATGCAGTTCTAGTTGTGACAATATTTTCTCCATGGAACATCTTCTAAAAGCAAATTTCTCAAATCAAAAACAGAAGCAGCAGCAGAAGAAATGAGGAAAAGGAAAAGAAAAAAGGGAGAACAGAGACCAATAATTGCCTTATTAGAAAGTGATCCTACTCATTTTAACTTGAAAGAAAATTGCTTTTACTGGATTTTACTCCTAAGTGGATATGCTTAGGGCTACTGTAAGGCAAAGATTTGGAACCTTTGCCCTCACCATGACTAATGGTGAGAGATGTTGGGAATTGTACTTCAGCAACATCTGGAGAGCTTCCAGATGATTACTGCATCCTTGACTAAACAGGTACAAATTTGCCCAGATTCAACACATTCATGTGGTTTTCTTGGTGACAGAAAACTACATCCCAAATTATATTTATCACCACCATTCCTTAAAAAACAGTTTAGATGGGCATTCCAGCACGGAAGGACAGGAGCAGTTTTCAGATACAAAATCAATTGAACAAAGGAGAATTCCAACGTTGCAGTTTCTCTGAGTTTACTGTTTAATAACTCTACGTAGATTTACTTTCTCATCGACCTTTATAGGACAAGGTTGCATGGGTTCTCAAAATATTCATCTCTTTGATATTGATATGCATCAATTTTTAAGGGTTTTTAAAAATGAACTCCACCTAATATTGCAAAAGTGGGAAAAGAATTATGTATATTACACATTGGCATCTTGCAAGGAAAATCCCAGAGGGCATTGCTAAAACATGCGCAATTTCATTTCATACAGCAGTGACATTAGCAGTGGGTGATCTGGAGCAAGGTGCCCATGCTCCCTACTACAAAAGTGATGGGATTTTAATGTTATGGGAGAAAAATTGATTTTCTACATGTGAAATTGAAAAAAAAAATGTCCATACGATGGTCTAAATGGAATGAAAGAAAGAACAGAATATGCCGAAGTGGTTTGGTGGATTATGAATTCTGGGGAAAAACAGCAAAACATTTTGTTTGTATGCTTTATTAGCACTGGAAGATATATGTAAAATGAATATATTATCCATAATCAAGATTATGTCAATTTTTTAAGGAAGGAGTTGCCCAGGTAGCTCATAAATATTAAATTATACATTTAAATGTTCTGTGTATTTTTCTTTATTTGGTGGTGGCTAGTCATAAGAAAGTGTAAGAATGTAAATGTAAAGAATGGGTGCTGAAATCTTGTTCCTAACCATTTATTCACGTTTCTGAGATTTTAACCAAGCATCACTTATGTGTTTCTGATTTATATCTGCACTTGCTTTAGGAAGGAAGGGTCAGAAGCTAATTTCCAGAAAATTAAATCCCATGCTCAATGCCTTTTTTTGTTTGGTTCCTCAACAAAATCACAACATTGTGTGTGTGTGTGTATTGCTTTTCAGTGCTGATCGTTTTCTTTACTCTCAGAAACTCCAGCCAACAAGGGAAGAGGTTTGGGATGTGGGATAGGTAGTTCAGGAACATCTCGAGGGCCCAAGGTTCTTCATTCTTGCTATACAAGATCCAAAGTTCAAGTGTTAACTTTTTCCCTAGTTTAAATTTATAGGTCTGATTTCACTTGGCATGCTATGTGTAATTTTGGTTGCCAGACCTCTAAAAGAATATTTCAGCAGTAAAAGGGGAGAAGGAAAGTAAAGCTAAATGATCAAGAGCAACTTCCTAATGAGGAAAAAAAAAAACTT